TATTGGATCTTTTAGATTGTCTTTTGTTAATTTAAAACAAGCTAAATGAACTGCAGCTAGAAATAGCTGCATTAAGAGGTGATCATCCACCAGCTGGCCAATTCCCCTTTGAAAGGATTTCTTCTTTCATTAATCCAGTTAAAGTCAATTTTCTGCAAAGCTCTAAGTCCATCTCTGACTTTTAAATGAGCATCAGTATTTTGCATAACATTACACCTTATCCAACCAAAAAGAGGGGGAAAAAAGCCATTGCACCTGTCGGGGAGTTTTGAGCAAACACGGTGATGTGGTGAATGTCACAGGATGCCGTTGGCACTTCATAATGAGAGATTAATCAGAAATGACTTCACTGTGATTTCCTTTTTTTTCGCTCATTGTCCGTTCCTGCAATAAAACAAGAAACAAACAAATTAGGAAATGAAACCAGAATGAGGTCTTCTGTCTCTGTTTGTGTTGTTCTGTTGTAAATCATTGTAATGATGTAAATACTGAATGTTTCTATATTTGAGTGAATTATTTGTGAAATATAGTAATGCATCGTTTATTAAACATATTTATCTTTTTAACTGTGTATGGCATGTTGTTCTTTGTCTTTTTTTTTTACATGAGTTATGTGGTTTAGATGAAAGTAATCCAAATGTTTATAGTAATGATTATGAATTTTATTGCTCACTTTGTTAATAAGCTATTCAACTGCTGTTATTTGCTTCTCAAATTCTAATTTGAATTTGAAATGAATGATCTCAATCCACAGTTTTATGGGCTTTAAATCTGAAAGCATTGAGTGCCCCTCTAATAGTGTGGTAGTACACAAGGGCCCTCCTCTGGTTATCTTTGGTATGGCATCTTAATTAGGTCTAATTTTTATTTTATGATATAAAGTTAAATTATAAATTAAAATGTTATCATTGCAGGCAGCAACTTGATTAAGTGAGGGAACCTGAAACCAGGAAGATAAATTAAATGAAGGCTGTACTCTTGGTGCCTCCCTATGAGCCCAGTTTTACCCTCTGGGGATGGTACTGGGGATTATTCTACAGATTAATATTTGGAATAAAAATAGCTTTAAAACAAAATTGCTAAATTCTTCAGAATCACTGGTCTGACATGTCTTATCTCAAATCCCTGTATTAGGATAGTAGATAATATAAAAAAATAAGTCCAGGCAGCATCAGCATTAAATACAATTCAACTGAACTGTTTTGATCAAGGCTGCATGGAGGCACAGCTTATAGCTCTGTTGTCTTTCAGCAAAATGTTCTGGGTTCAAATACCAGCCCAGGGTCTTCCTCCATGCTGTTTGCATGTTAACATTTAGGTTCTCTCCGATACTCCATGCCTCCCCCCTACAGACCAAAATATCATTTGTGCCTGTACATTTTCCTTAGGTGTGAGTGCATGGTTGTCTGTCTGTGTTGCCCTGTGACGGTCTGCCGACCTGTCCAGGGTGCACCCTGCCTTTCTGCTGGAGAAAGGCACCAGCCCCACTGCGACTCTGAAGAAGCTGAAGATGGATGGATGCTTTGATTAAGACTTGTAAACACTTCTTGAGTTAATGATGTCTTCTTTCTTGTGATTTATCACCATTTACAGCTTATATATCCGCATCCCTGGTAATGATAGGTAAAAAAATAAAACATTTTGTATTAATTTTTACCAGTTTTTTTTTTCTTCTATGTTTGTTGATTTTAATGATTTAGGAAAGGGCTGCCAAAGAAGCTACATGGCTACATTCATCATATCTCTGCTGATATACTGTGATACTTTAAACGCTTTGAATGCTATAAATGGTTGTTAAAAGGCTGGTATGGACATTTGTTTATGACAAAAGGATCACCAAGGGGATGAAAATGAATTAGAAAGCTAACCGTTAATGAGTGATAGAAAAATCTCCATTAATCACTACTGTAATCTTATGTTATATATGGGGTTTGTGGCTGAATATAGTCATGTACACATTCTGGTAATTTGTCATCAGTAGCTGTGTTTTTTTTAATAAGGTCAGCATTAATGCATTGCTTAGCATACAGTACAGGGGACTGCAAAAAAACCACATAACATATAGGATTTTTTAACAAAAATTTTTTTTTTTGTGATTTCATGTTGATCATCATGTGTCTGAAATGCTTGTATATCTTTACATAAACATCTGAAAGTTGTGAACATTCATCTCCCCAGTGTTGGTAGGATAGAGCTCACATTTTTAAACATACAAGCCAGTATGGTTCACCACACTGTGTCTTTATTGACACCAAGCAAGAGTATTAGGACTACAACAATAGACACATGATTAATTTTGCTGCTGTTTAAGCCACACACTTAAAATACAGAATTAATGAAAAAGTTTTATTATGAGCAGATTGGAGATTGCTTTCCAATCGCTTCACGTGTTTTCTGTTTTCTTTTTTTCTTTAGAAAGATGTTGACTGTCAGTGTTTTTGTGAAAACATCGTACTCCACATCTGCACACAATGTCGTTTTCTTTCTCTCTGTGTTTTTATAATTTTTGTTCCAATGTTCTGCCATCTGTGCATAACTTTCTGTGCACAGCCATCTGTAGATGCAGCTTTTTTATTTACATTTCGGTGTTGTCATTCTTTTGAAATCCCATTTGAAATGATCTTATGTTTTTGCTTTTTTACAGAAAAAGATAGAGTCCAGCTGCGTTATCTATTTATCTTTATTTGTTTAGAAGATCACTCCCCAGAGCTCAGGATTATTATAAGGTCAGCAGGAAGATGAAAGGTCTGGAACCTTTCCTTTAAGGGATTTGCAGAGGCTGTCACCAGAAAGTCTGGGGTCAAGTTCTAAGTGATTTGAACAAATATGTATTCTAACTACAGATTAATAATAGTTTAAAAAAAATTGGATATGCAACTCAAAATGAAGATGTATTAGGCTAAATAGGCAAAATATAGAAAGAGAACTTTTAAAAGCTACTGTACAAAAAATTACAATTTACTGTTTATGCTATCTAATTCCATTAATGTATTATGAGGCACTTAATGTGAAAAAGTAACTTATGTACATATATATCATTAAATAAGTCCAACTATTTTGAACAACTCACATTTAGTTGCACACATTCCAGTTTAATCCTGGTATGTGGAAGCATGAAAGCTCCATTACAAATTATCCTTGTTGAAAGGTGTTTTGTTTTTCTATCACATGCATGATCTGTTAATACACTTTATATTTCCTTTGTTAGGATTTTATAGTCAAAGCTTGTTAAAATATAAATACCCTCTTATCAACTTTTACTTTATACACTATGAATAGTTTTTTATTATTTCAGATTTGTTACAGTGACCTTAGTGTGTAAAAAATACTTTTTTTAAGCCTTTATGTTTTGGGCTAAGTAAGCCAAACAAAAGTTGATTATCCCCTAAGGTTATTAGACTTTGGTCATAAGACTTTATTTATCATTTTGTCCATATCCCTTGACCTACATATTGCCATTTGTGTCTGCTTAACTACCACCTGGTTTGTGTTCACTATATAACTGCTGTTAATGTTGATTTAATTAGGATTTAACTGACTCTTGTTTTTTTTTTTTTTTTGAAGGAAGATGTCCAAAATGTTTCATTCAAAAGCCAGGTCCTAAATCACTGGTATTAAAGCCCAAATTTTGTTTCAAATCTTTTATGAAGTCAGGAGATTGACTCTATAGTCATTTAATGTGTTTCACTAGATTGAGTTTAGTCCAAGTCATGTGACTTGAGTCCACATATCTTGGGAACTGAAGCAATCAAAAGCGTAATAACCTGCCAATAACTTACTACGCTTCCAGGGTGAGTAAGGTGATAACATTTTCCCAATAATGTAGTATGTTATTGCCTTTTTTTGTATTGTAAGGATTGTTTGAAAATACTGCTAAAGCTTCTGTGTAACACATGAAGACCACATGTTCTGTTCTTTAAGTCTAGCACATTTCAGTGAACCAAATACCAAATGTATTTCATATTACTTCTTAAATTAGATCATGGATTCAAATATATGAACATCTTAAAAACATTCTAAATAAAGATTTCGTTCAACATAAGTTTTATCATTGGTTCCTAGAATCCTTAAATAAGGTAAACTTCTTCATGGTGCATATTTTTGATGATGAGGATAACCACCATCTACTATATCTGTTTTATGAAAAGCCTAAAAAACTAAGCTGCAAAAAATAAAATTTTAATTTCCAAAAAGTGCTGCGATGTCACAATTATGGCCGATTGACCCTTTTTTTATTGGACTTTTTTAAAATCTATGCCTACGATGTAATAAAGTATCACAATGCTGACGCAATGTGATTTGATTTTGCTTAATAGCAATAACACAAAACATTATTATTTTTTTTTTTTTTATTGTTATTGGCAGTCGTTGGTAACAGCAGTAATTACAACAATCTTGCTTCTAATCAAAACCATGAACCTTAATAGCAGTAAATGCCATATTTAAAATTCTTTCAGAACAGAGTGCTTTGTTCTCAAATTCCCTGCACTGTTTTGGAGTTTTTGTTTTGTTTAATTGCATGTATATGTCTATACTGGGTTTATTTTTTTATCTGGAAATCTATTTTCTATGCTTCTGTTCTCCAATCGTTTTTTTCCCCCCTATATGGTCTCGAGAGATTTTATGCAGTTAGGTGTGTGAGCTGCTTTATGCAGATATTGGTTTTATACAAATTTACATACAAATAGAAAACTCTGACAACTGCTACAATGATTCTTTAAAGCTTTTTTTTTCACCTATCCAATTTGAAATATGATGCTTTTGCCCCCCCACCACCACCCCCTTTACTGTCCTGCATTCCCTTTCTTCAACTGTCATATTTGCACAGCAGATTCAGTGTACCCTGTACTTCGGTACCTGAGTAAACCTCAAGGTTTAAAAGGGAAACCTGACCATCGAGTTCACACTGGGTGTGATATATATCCGTGTGTTTGTGGGCGTGTGTCTGTGTGTGTTGTTAATGCCATGTCCTGGTCTTTTTGTTACTCTAAGAGCGCTGACACACTTTTTTTCCCCCCTCTTAGTTTACACAAATGTTGGTCCCATAAGAGATGGCTGCTGGGAAATTATCAGGAGACGTCTGCAGCAGATAAGATGACACCAAAGCTTTGTTGTGTCAGTTTTGTTTTTTTAAGGATCGCATGAAGAGCATCTGAAAGGGTTCATTTTGGCATAAACGTCTTAATTTGTCACAGAAATGAAGGATCGAAGTAAGGGTTTATTCTAAAACTGGTAGGTCGGTTTCTGAGACTCTTTATCTTCATGTATCTTTCTTCTTCATTGGCAGCTATTCTGACCCTCTTTGCTGTGATTGTGCTCCTTCTAATCTTTTTCCTGACTTCATTTGATGAACAGGTGCAAAATGTTTTTGGTGAGTTGGTTTATTTGTATTCCTAAGTCTTAAAAGCTAAGCAATACTCAGTAACATCTAAATTATATAAACCTTATTTCAGGATTCAACAAAACAGAGTTTAAATTCAAAACAGGTAAGAAAAACTTCAGCTTTTGCTACTCACCTTGACTTCTAATAATTTTTAATTCCAATTTAGATTGCATTGAAAGAATGTCTGTATTTTATGTCTGATTTACATTTTAAGGCACAGCTAAAGCTGCTCCAAAGTGCAGGCTCTCCGCAGTCTGTCCCAAAGACCACTTTCCTTTTAAAATTTGGAGTGGAGCTGCTAATGTTGTTGGGCCAAAAATCTGTTTCAACGGTAAAAAGTATGTGTGTTGTTCAAACTTCCTATGCTGAGAGAGAAAAGCTGTGACCTGTCTGTGAAAATCAACTTTCGTCTGCATCTTAACAGCGTTATGAGTCACATTTTGAACAACGTGGGACCAGGACTGAACATTGTGGTGGTAAATGGTAAATATTGATCACAAACCTTAAACTCTGTACCCTGACACAGTTCATTTTCAAGCCTAAAGTAGTATCAGCTGAATAATGTAGGCCTTAAAGGTTTATTTTTTTAAGAAGTATAGTGCTTCGCAAAAGTATTAACACCCTTTTCAGTGAGTTTTTGTCTTTGCTAGATTTTGAAATCTATAAACTGAGGTTTTTGCATTATATTCTTTACTAATTTGGTCAAATACTTGATAAATCCGTTCTAAACCATGGATATTGTTTAACTCTAATAATTTGCAGCCTCTTACTCTAACCATTCTCAAGCATTTCTCAAGCACATAGCTTTATTTCACTTCCCAACAACCGATTAGCGTCCTTTTTCCTGCTTTAAAAAGAGCATCTCCACAGAATGATGCTTCCCCCACCATGTCTCATGATAGGCGGTGGTGAGTTAAGGGTGATGTGAAGGTATCAATGTGTTTGGACTTTGTTGCAAAGAATAAATTTCTATTCAGACTATTTTTAACTCGGCTTAAAAACAGAATTCAGCTCAGGGATATATATATTTTTTTACTGCAGCCTCCTAAGAGGTCAATAATGGATTGGTTTGTATTTGTTGTCAAGTCAAAGAAGGAAAAGAAGTAATAAATTATCAATTGAATAGAATATCTCTCCAGTTTTTGTATCCTCTGCCCACACTAAGAAAACATCAGATTTATCCTCATTTTATGTCTTTACAGTAAATACGATTGCTGTTTTTCAGCCAATGTGGATGCCCACAAACAGTCCTTGCTTGACGGTTTATGGACAGGTATTGATGAAGAATTTCTCAAGCCGGAGAGCAGAGTGAACCCCTCAAACACCAGACATCATTTATAAGGTGGCTTTTAGGCTAAATCTGGTTGGTCCATGATAATCTAGATTTAGTCCTGGAATAGTTTTTAAAAATTGGGCTGTGTTTGATCGCTCTGATTTTTTTCTCCACCTTAGTCCAACAATAGATGTCGAAAAGACATTGAAAACCCATTTTTTTACATATTTTGAATTATCATAGAATTACGGCTTTTCACCCTTTACTTTTTAACCAAATTTAGACGTCATTTGGACATAATTCATCTCGTCTTTTCAATGTCTCAGTAAACTTTTTTTGCCCAGTCAGTACAGGGCAGAATTAGGCTTTACTACTCATCAATTTCTCTTTGGCTATATTTGTTAAGTTCTGTCAATAGATTTTCTCATCTACACTGTGGATCTCTGCAGCTCGTCCAAAGTTACCATGGTCAACTTGTCTTCACTGATTCATGCTCTCCTTACCTGGCTATAAATCACTTGTATTTGCAATATAATAACAGTGGTAAATACAATTGTCTCAATACACTTTATGTAGTTTTCCCACCAGGGGAGGAGAGCATTGTGTCTGTGGACAATTCCATGGAGGTGAACCTGAACTTATTCTTGTCATTAGCACAGAGGAAATTGCAGTTGCAATTTAGGTAAAGAAAAAAATGCTATTTAAATTTTCTGGCAAAATTATATATCCCTACTAGCCTTTCAGGTCAGTTGGATGGCCGTGTCTTGGGTTTAAATACTGCTATACTCAACTCTGCCATATTCAAAGCTTTAAAAAAAAGAAAATAAAAAAAAAAAAAAAAAAAAAAAAAAATATATATATATATATATATATATATATATATATATATATATATATATATATATATATATATATATATTTGTTTTTTAACAAGCCAGGATTTATACTTATCCACAACGTTATCTCTGAACTGTCTGCTGTGTTCCTAGGTCTTCATGATGATGTTTGTTCACTTGTTCGATAAGCCAATAAAGACTTTAATAGCCTGATAGTGAAATTAAATCACATACAGGTTTACTCTCTTATCTAATATGTATGCATTACATTTAAAACCATTTAAGGGGCCTGAATACTTTTGCTCTGGCCTCCAGGTCTATCTATTACACTCTAGTTAATAAGCCAAAGGGAAAGGTCTGACTTAGACATCATTTGGTGCACATGCTGATTAGGTATGTGTATGTAAATGATTTAATTTGCAGAGACCCGGCACGTGTAGAACAGGCACTGAGATCGAGAACAGTGGGTGAAAATGAAAAGAATCAAGCTGTTGCAATACCCCAGCAAAATCCAGAGCTTAACTTGATTGAAATACTGTGGTGAGACATTTAAAAAGGCTGTGTGGAAACAAATGTGTACAAACTTTGATGAACTGAAGCTGTGCTGTGAAGGGAGACGACTGATGGAGTCAGACAGAAAATACCTACCTCAGCGATCAAGCTTTTTAATCATGTGGTGAAATTAGATGTCCCATGGCTTTATTCACAGTTTTATTCCCATGACTGTAAATAAAATACTAAAAAACTTGTTTTTTGTTTTGCCACCTATAGATGAGACTGGAGTTGTAGAAAGGTTTGACTATCTTAATATGATAAGTGGAAGTAAGTATCGATGACAATTTTTTATGAAAACCTAAAATGTTCAGCCTTCATAAAGCTCCTATTTATTTTTTTTTTATTCCACATTAGACTCAGCAGACATCCTGACGTATTTGGAGAAAATAAAGCCTGGAATGATTGTGCTGGTGGCCTCCTTTGATGATGCAGCAACAAAGTAAACCCGAATCAAAACTTTCCAACATTTAAAAACGATCTGGTGTCACAGAACAATGACCCTTTCTGCTCATTTGTTGCAGGATGACAGATGAAATAAGGCAGATGTTTGTTGATATGGGAAGCACTTTGATCCGCTCTGTTAAACACAGAGACAACTGGGTGTTTGCTGGAAGAGCAGGGAAAAAAATCAAAAGCATCTTCGAGCAGGTCAGTGAACCCTGTCTGTGTCATTTTATCTGTGCATCAAAGATTCAGAAAATATACAAGAAGGCAAAGCACCGTCCACAAAACTAATTTTTCCCTCTTTTTCTCTGCTAGCGAGCTGAGAATGATGAGAAAACAAATGTTTTCGATGGATGGCCAGAGATGGTGGAAGTGGGTGGCTGTTTCCCAATGACTAAGAGTGTCTAAAAATCCAATTTAATGGGGCGGGGCTTATTAATCTGCAACAGACTTAAAACTTTAGGAAATCTTTCGGGAAGGTGGTAGCCTAGTGGTTAAGGTATTGCTCTTGGATCCCAGAGGTTCTGAGTTCAAGCCCCACTCCCACGGCTGCCACTTTGGGCAAGACCCTTAATCCCCACACCTCTCCCCAGGCGCCTCACATTGACACCCTACTGCTCCCCAAAGGTATGGGTTAAATGCAGAGAGTAAATTTTGTACTTGTGACAATTCTAATGATAATGAAGTTGAATTCTATTCAATTCTGTTCTTTTATTTTGCCCAATTAAACAAAACACTGTAGCACTGTAGGCCCATACAGTAAACAGCCCTTCAGACACCTGGATAGATAAAAGACACCTGGATAATAACTAGTTACATTTATTCTTTTATATTAACTTAGGTAACATTTTGGAGATAATATGTTCATTGTTTAGCTTAACTGTACTGTACTTCTTATTTTTATGTGAGTAGGCCTAATATGCTTGTGAATTAACACTGCTGATTATGGAGGAAGATTAAACTATTTTTCCAAAGGCCATTTAAAAATGGAAATTTAAAAGAAAACAGATATTTATTTCATTATAACAAAAAGATTTGATTTAGTCATTTTTATGCACTTTTTGGTTCTGTTTAAGTTTTTTTGGGGGGGGTTTATTGGCTTCATTTCCATTTTGTGTCATTCTAGTTGATTTCTGGTTTTATTTAGATGTATTTTTTTTGTATACCGTCTGTTGCCCCATTGTGTCAGTCTCCTTCCCCTAGCTCCCTTCTAGATCCTTCTGTCCACACCTGCTCCCTATCAGTTGATTACTCCAGTCTTTGCTCTGTATGGCATACATACTCCTCCTCTCCAGTTACTGTTTGCCGGACTTTCTTTATTTCTGAATTCCCTCCTTAAAACATGTTTTCCCCTTTGTTCTGGTTCAAGCATTCCTTGTTAAGTTATTTTTTGGATTAATGCTTCACTTTCCACCATTGGTTATTAAATCTGCAAGAAACCACCTGAGCTTCCATCTCTGTGTTTGGGTCCTCTAAAAACCTACATGCAACCTGACAGATTTAAAGAAAATAATTTGATACACAAAAATCTTCCAAGTCATAAATAATTGTTGGTTATGTATTTAAGTTGTTTTATTTTAGAAGTCCAACCCAATTTGAGTTCTGGAAACATTTTTACTACATATAAGTTTTAAACAAATTAAATAAATAAAAACTCATGCATGTTCACATATAGAAAAACATGAAGATAAATATTAGCGAATGTACTGGAATCATTTCATAGTATCTAGGATTAAGGGCAAGTTGTTTTCACTCTCTCAAAAAAAAAAAAAAAAAAAAATCCCTTATAAAAGAGTTGGTAGTTTTATCCGAAAAAGACAAAAAACAGGTGTGATGTGGATGGTGAAAACCCTCTCAGAAGGCTTAAGAACAGCTTCAGGCTGACCCCAGGCTTTCTGTCTCAGGCAGACAATGAATGAGCGGTGGCAGTATGTAGAGGGGATAACAGGAAAACTGTAATGGCCAAAGGAGACATCACCACTGTAGCAGCTGCACAGCAGTCTGAAATTAATGTTATTTTTCTTTAATGAGCAAGTCTTTCTGAAATGAGGCAGAAATGGATCTCTTTGGGAATAAAGTGCATCAGTTTGTTTAGAGTCAACAAAATGAAGTATATGGAGAAAAGAGTTGTCTGTCTTTTGGTCCTTGATTTTTCTTCAACTGATTTTTTTTTTTTTTTTATAGGGCCTCTGAGTCACACTTTGATCTCTATGACTCTTCGTGACTTTGAACATTTATCTAGATAATCATATTTTGGCTTCTTTGAAGACAAATATCTCTTTGAGTAAATTTTTTACACTTTGAAACTGTCTGAGATTTCTCACCAAGAATGTTTGAAGGACCGGTTTGAAGTTTGGGCAATGCCATGCAGCTTTTGTGCTTATGAGACACTGAAACATCTTTAAAAAAAAAACAACTGAGACAGACTTGCTTGCCCCTTTAACATACAAAATGGATCAAAACTAAATTTCTCTACAGAATTCAGATTTTGTAGAAGTCCAATAGTTCTGTATTTAACAGTTTTTGTGTTTGTTTTGGAGTGCTGCTTCTGAGGGACGATCATAATTGGTTGAAAAGGTTTCCCTTTATCTCTTTGCTTGGCAACTGGAGAGGAGAAACAATAGACTCAAGTTATTGTAGAAACTCTCTCAACCTGCTGATGCAAGCAACTGAAACAAGGTTAGAATAGAATAAAATATATCTGTTTTTTATTTATCGATGTGTTAAAAAATTTACGAAATTCTATTAGAAGGTATCAGGGTTCATCCTGAAACTTGGAACAGAGTCACCTCCCACCTAGTTCTTCTCTTTAGAAAGCTATCGGGACTTCCTCCCGGGAGAAGATCCCACAGCAGACACAAACCTCCTGCGATGGTTTATTCCCCTTCTGGCCCAGGAATCAGCAGGATCTCCCCAGAGTACTGGGGTGTCTTGGTTTCCCCACCTGGACCTGTCGCCTCTGTGACCTGACCTTGAATAAGCAGACAAAGATGAATGGCTAAAGTGACTCTCTCCACCCTGAGCCCCAGCAGGTCTCTGACCAGTCACTGAATTCCTGATTCATGCTGGGAACGTGGCAGTGACCCTTAGTACTAAGGTGAGTTTCCTCCTGTCTGCCTCATGAAACACACTATGTGATTCATTCCTCAACAACATTAGGATAACCAAGCAGATCCCATGTGACAAAACACCTCTTTATAAGATATTTAATAATGCTTTAGATTTATCTGGCATCTTTCTGTTTTTTTCTCTCTACCTTTCACATATTTACCCAAAGGAAGTGAACAAGCGGACCAAAAAATAGGTCTTAATCCAGCTGAAAAGAAGTTTTCTGAACAGTGTGTCTCAGTGACTGTTTATGCTGTCATGTCCTATTAATTCCTCTCAGCACAATATCCTCTGTGTGAGCCTGGCCAAGCAGCAGGACTCCCCCCTTCATCAACCAAACAGCTGCTGGCACTGATGCCACCATTAAAGACCTTCCTGTTCCTTTATAGATTCCTTTCCTATTTAGATCATTTGCTCCAGTCTTGTGAAATCCAACTAACGATGTAAAATAGACTCTATGGAGCGTTTATGACTGTAGAAAAACGTAGAGAAGGAGACTATTTTCTCCACTGTGTAACTCATTTTGAAAGAAGGTTACTGTTTATATAGAGCCGTTTATCACAACGTTTCATCATGCCTTGCTTTAATAGCCCTCTTGAAGTGTTTGGGAACTGAGGGAGACAAACTTTTGCTGTTGTGAAAGTTAAATATTTTCTTTTAATTAGTTGATGATGGATCTCAGCTGCCCAGCAGTTCAGCACCTTCTCTGATGCTTTGTTCAGTTTGTTTTTATTGAACAAATGAGCTCCACAGTCATGAATATGTAACACCTAAACTGCTTGTCTGTGAAGCTGTTTTCTTGCAAATTTGGACTTCGAAACTTTAAAGCCAAAATCTAGCCATACGCTTGTAGGGTATGGTTCATTAAAAAGTATTCATACTGGTTTTGTTAAAATAGGGAACAGATGCAGAGTGAGCTGAACACAATGTGAAGGTTTGAGTAGACTGGTGACAGAAAGTTTAAAAGGAAATAGCTTATATTCGATAATAGTAAGTGGTAAACCATATTTAGTGGCATCTTTCAAAGTGAAAAATAAAGAGTGAGCATTAGAATTTATACACCATAAAAAATACAAAGAAAAAAAGATGAGCAAATAAAAACATTCTTTGCACTTTGGTTTTCTTGGTGTTTTGTTCATTTTTCAGCAGATTTTCATGTTTTTATTTAAAATATGCTCCATATATGTATAGAAATGTAAAGCTTAGGGAAAAAAATAGTGGTCTTATTTCTTAAACAAAAAACTAAACATTTCATCAATGGTCATGAACACTTTCTACACGCAAAATAATACTTTAAGATTTTCTTAGAAAAATCTTAAGTACTGTGGCTTTCTGCAGACATTTGAGAACCTCAAATGTAGGTGATGGTGAATAATGTAGTATTCTCAGCTGGCAGCAATAGTAAAAGGTGTGAACAGAGGAAGTTCCAGACAGAAATTGTGGAAATGTATTGCTTCTTTGGTGGAAGAGCCTTGGATGTCTTTGCCCTGTCCCCCATTCATTCTCCCAACCACTGCAGATTCACACAATCCCAAAAACGACCTCTCATCTTTATTCGAATAGGTTTGTAGGCTTTAAAAGAGATGGCATGGAAACCTTAGGCCTATGGGTCTAAGTTTGTGGACCAGATGTAAGATAGTACTTCCCATTTATAAAGGTAATGCATTTGTTAATATAATTCTACAGATATCCAATGATTATTCCATATCCAATGATTGTAGAAATGCGCTTGTGCAATAAAAAATAGTAATCCAACAGTGTTTATTGTCGGTTCTTACTCTTCTCCCATAATTCTCTGAATTTATCAATTTCATTTAAGCGTAAGGCAACTCTGTCTCGGCTTCATTCATGTCAATAAAACTTTTCTAATAGCAGCTTTTCTTTGTGTGTGTTTCTCCAGGTTGATGTTTTTAAGCTACATTTTTTAACATTGAAATTTTTTGTAATCACAGACTCTATATATTATTAAACAACATAATGTAGAAGAAATCCATTTATCCTGATGTCCTTTCTGATTCCCACAAGGGAGTAATGTTACTCTTGTCTATTAATTCTGCTGGAGTTTCATCAAATGAGGAACTCAGAAGGAACTTCACTAGTTCTTGTTTGATCATCTCATTAGTGAGGTACCAGCTCACTTTGAGGGTGCTCACTTTAGTAGGAGGTTTTTTTTTGTTAGTTTTTTTACTGCAGTGAAGTAGAAATTCAGCCACATACCACCTTAGGGAATAAAGGTTGCCAAAGTTTATATATATATATATATATATATATATATATATATATAAAGTAAAAACTTTGGCAACCTTTATTCCCTAAGGTGGTATGTGGCTGAATTTCTACTTCACTGCAGTAAAAAAAGCACACAAAAAAACAGGTGTTTTGTATTGGCCTGTAAAAAAAATGCCCATACCAAATGGCTCACAAGAAGTGACAGTGGATGAGATACTGCGCGTACGCATCCCCGCATGTTGCTCCACAGGCGCAGGGGGAGAACCCCGACCCCGTCAGACAGCACTTCTGAAAAAACGAGATTGGGAGATCCCAGCTCTCGCTGCAACCGTACGCTGGAATGACCCAGATGCAAAAAAGTGCAATGTTGCAAGGAGTTTTGTGATATCTGGTATTGCGTGGGTCC